AAAATCATAAAGATAAATTTGTATGTCTAAGACCTAGAGAAGGCTTCAGAGTATCACTAACATGGCTGTAGACTGACGTAAGCAATACTTAAAAGTAGTAATGTTAATAATTCAAATACTTGTTGGGCGGGGGCAAAGGGCATAGGCCCTGGCAGACTATTCCCCGCCTATTGAGATGACTGGGAAACAAAATGTGACCTCTCTAGTGGTGAATGAGCCTGAGCTAGTGCGCGAGGTTGGAGACATCGGCTAGATGACTCAGGTGTGACTCACGCCGATGCACGCCTTGGGTTCTGGAGCCAGTCTGGAGAGGAGCTGGACTTTGTTCTAGTCCAGTGTTGCTCTTAGTGAGAAGCAGCACATTGGGGGTGGGTATTTTTGTAACCCCTTGGCTTTCTGCCTGTATGTTGGAGTTTTTGCTGGTTGACGAGAGGGTTTTTTTTCTTGTGCTTTTGGGCCAGGAACTTGGTACTTGACCGCATAGTTCGTCATAGGTCTGCGTGGTTCGTGGTGTGGCTGTGGTGGAGGTTGTTGCATTGTTGTTGTGAATGTTTGGCTGGCAGCTGAAAAGCTGTGGCCGAGTGTAAAAGAAACAACAACCAAAATAAAAGAAAGTGTGGAAAGATGTGACAATGTGGTCGGGTCACCATGCATCTTCTACAAGGGGTCTCACACTCCCCAGCCTCCCGAGCAAGGTCTATGTCAGCATACTGGAAAGGAACTCAGATCTCATCTCTGCTTTTTGAGGATAATGACGCCACAGTCGTCAGCCGGAAAAGGGTGGAGTTCCCACTTCGGATCAGAGACATAGAGATAGAGTGTGGAATTTAGTCATTCAGAGAGACTGAGTAGAACCGCTACGCCTCTATATCGAAAGGACCCAGTTGAGGTGGTTGTGGCATCTGACTAGGATGCCCCCTGGAAACCCACTGGGTGACGTGTACTGGGTATGTCCTACTGAGAGGAGGCACCAGGGTAGACCCAGGACATGCCAAAGAAATTATATATCTTGGTTGGCCTGGGAACCCATCTGTGTTTTGTTGGATGAGTTGGAAGAGGTGGCTGACTGCTGGCCCTGCGATATGGAACCAGATCATGGACGGATGCATTTCTAATAATTCTAATAGTAAAAACAGTAATAATGCAGACAAATTGGAAAGCCCAAAATGGGACTTTTTGGCATGTTGGTTGTGATTTTCAGACATTTCACAATATCACTTTACCAACACAATGTCAGAGAATAACTAATTGCCAAAATCATGCAGTGTTTTCTTTAACTGGGTGTTGCCTACTTGATTTTTCTTACGTGATAGATGAAATCATTCCAGTTTATTTAAATTAGTCAGAAAGTTATACATTCACATACAATGAACAATTTGAGGCATAATTAATGTCTAACAAAACTCATGTAACCCTCAGGGAGAATGACACAAAATACAGCCATCAAACGATAGTAATCATGGAAGAGGAACCTGCGGTGATTGAGTCAGCCACTTACCTGTTCCAGAAGCATCCCCGTTCATCAAATCTGCTAATGTACCATAAGAGGGCACTGTACGTTCTGCAAGGAAGCAATTTGTTTTCGACTAGAAATCATGACATTGTACTGGTTGGCCATGGTAGTCAAAGCCCTACTGGAGCGGCCCAGTTGGCTGGTTATGACCCAAAGGAACTTGCCAGATTTGTTTTCATCTTAAAAACTAAAACAAACATTGGTCATCTTGGTACCATCAGCCTCATAAGCTGCAATATTGGAAATGACCAACACTTCATGTTGCAGTTCCTACAAAGTCTCCGGTCTTTTAGTGTGGAAACAAAGCTCAACCTATACAACACACTCCTGTCAGTTAATTCTGATGGTGATATACTGACGACAACTAACGGTGTCTGGAGGTCCCATGAGCACTACAGCACAGTCATAGCTGAACTGAACCAAAGAGGTGATCTGGTGATAAAAAAGGAACTTGGCTGTCCAGGACCAGTTTTTCACAATTATAAAGGAAATATTTTGTATCTGCAGATACTGGACTGGCCAAGCCACCCGCAAATGTTTGTCCCAATGGAGCTGCGCAAAAAGTATCACTTTATCGACTGCCTGGAGGGGCTGACTTGGAGCTTGTTTTTTGAGGAAAACGAAAGAAGGCGTGCTCCTGATTATACCACCGATGATTCAAGACACCTAAAAGCAATTTGGCTTGAAAAGCCAGCGGCAGGAGAAGACAACATTATCCTGAAGCATATCATAAGCATTCAACATCTGCTAGTGGAGATACGGTACAATGCCAGAGAGGAAATTCCATTGGACCTTTACTACGTTCTCAATGAATGCATTTACAAAGTAAACGGGAAAACTCTGAATGCAACTCTGGTGGGAAAATTCATGAATCCTGACAATCAAGTGGAAATTGAAAATTTTCTTCAGAGCTTTAAGGACCAGCAGGACGAGTCCTCCCTGGAGAAGCTGAGAGAGGGTCTCAAACCATCAAAATTCAATGACTTCTGTCGCCAAACCTTCCAGTTTCAGCAGTGTAATTACAACTGTGAGCGATGGGGCCATTATTTCATGGCAGCTGTGTTTTCAGCATCGGTGCGTAACTTCAGAACCTTCTCACTTTTCCTCATGACTGTCATTGGTTGTGAAGTAGGCCATTCACGGGGAAGTGACAGTCCCTTGTGCACAGCATTTGTGAGGGATGACCACCCCATGATAACCGATCAACCCTGGCCTGAACATTTGAAACGAGGATTCTACGGCTGTGCTGTTGACAACTTTGAAATGGCACCACAGAACATGCAGATTTGGTTAGATCAAGTTGTTGCAAAGGAAAATGCACTGTACATTAAATCAAAGCAGATTATGAGTGCTATTATCCATGACGAGCAAACAGAGCTAGATATCTTTGGGAGGGTTAAAGTCATGAATAAGTACGCATTTTCATCTTATCTTGAATTCTTCCGAGGTACGCCCGAGGGGAAAAAACTCAAAAGAGGATGTGCACCGTCTTTGCATGGGAATATGAATCCATAATGCTGGTGTAACAGTTCATATTGTCCACTTCATTGTTTTCATTGTACAGTTACAATATTTTTCTGTGCTGAAAATACTGTACTCTGGATGAATTACAACATAAAACTAAAAAATGCTTCACAGTCATCTACCGCTTCACTTTTGTAGCTAGAAGAATAAAAGAAAAATCTTGATGCATTAAAAGCATTAAAACAGAATTCCAGAGGTTTTTGTGATGTCTTCTTATGTCAAAATATTAAATATTCTAAAATTAAACATTTAACTGTATCATATAAACCAGTTAAATTATGTTTCTTTAAAATCAACAAAGCCGTAACAACAGGTGATATTGGGAAACTCGTTACATGTTTATTTAAATGTTCATTAAATCACTTTTCTTTTGGTGTCAAAGGTCAGTTACAAAATATAAATACACAGAAATCAGAATCAGAGCATTCTAGAATGAGGGAATATTACAAAGGCACAATTTGAGATTTCAAATATAATTCTAATATATTAGAAATAATACAAAACAACATGTTTTGTTACTGAGAAACAATTTACTCGCGAGTCAACTTTCTACAAGCCAGGAAATAAATTCTACACTTCAGGTTTGAAAGTGATGAATATTTCCAATGACTTGATGCTAAATCTCTCTTAAAGTTGACCACATAACTGGAAGGTCACCTGGCGTGACTATTATTAGGCAAGGGAAGGCGGGGCTTGTTTTTTGTTCCCTTTTCTAAAATAGTAAATCATGTTTTACCTTCTTTTTTGTATTTCATTGACCTAACCATTTAAAATGTTGACCTCTGACCTCTGAAGTTGAAAATACCACACCAGCAGACCATTAATATAGTGATTTGGACCAGTTTTAAAGCACCCAACACTTTTGCAAATCAAAAACATGACAAACTGGAGCGACATGAACGGGACAGAAGTTATTCACTCTGGTTTTGACGATAGCTAACAGCTTTCTTTTTCAAACAACCAACTTAGTTCTATGTTTATGTTTTTATTCAAAGCAGAGGTGTTTGTAAGATTTATAGTTTTAAAATTTGTAGAACACTTTTTGGACCAAACACCCAAAGAACTAAATATGATGAGCATCCTGAAGCAACACAGAGAGAAGAACATTCAGACACCAGGGACACTGTGGTGTCTAATCACACAAGGTTTAGGCTATTGTAACATGTGCAGCATGATAAATGAAAAAAAAAATACAAAGGAGGACAAATTGAGTATTTTATTCAAAATCAGTTTACATTTTACTTTGAACTTAAACAAAGTAATCTGAATCCAAAGGTAAACTAGTTAAAACTAATGTTTAGTCATCAATGCTTAGAATGGACCCTTGTATTCTGTCAATTCTTTATGAGCGTGATGTGTTTGTGTTACTCTGCTGAGTTAAATTTCCAAATGCGTGTTGGGCTAAGAAGCTGCTCTTTACAGGAGAATACAGCTGCATGACGAGCCCTTCTGACCACTGATGTTGCCAAACTGCGAGGTGGCTAGTGACTGGATTAAATTCCAGAAGTGCTTGAAAGAGATGCCCTCGCCATCACCTACACCCATCTTCCGCAGGATATCACCAAATCCCTGGTCGGTGCCGACCCCCTGTCAGAACACGACAAAACAACTCACGTTAAAGTGAAAATATTAACACCTAAACCAAAATATCATTCCAGTTAATTACAAACCGTTAGGTTACTGATCACAGTTCGGAATATCACCTACGACAAATCTGATCAGACAAAAACAAAAACAGGGAGCAGAAGTTTACCCAGAATAAAACTAGTGCAACTGAAGACACTCTGACAAGACTTGCTCAAGATACTGAGCACCAAAATGGTCCCAACGCATCCACCGGTGTATTTGTGCACTCAGAGTGCATGCATTGTAAGAACGTGGCTATGTGAATGTGTCTTATAGTGTGTAGAGCTCTGAGTGGTAGATACGCCAGTTCATTTACCATGGGTTAATGTATTTAACTTTGTCAATTTAAACTGGAAGTCCAGGTGCTGGCCCTCATCCTGCTTTGAGGACATCCGACAGATGGTTGTGGATCGGCTGGGCCTCGTGCCCGAAGACCACCATTGATGCTTCCTGATGATCGGCCTTTTGCCTTTGCCAGACGGCCCTTGCACCCAGTAGCGTTAATGGAGGTCCCATTTGAGCCATCTGACCATTTCACAGGAGTGCACTGGGATATTGCTTTGAGTTCTTGTGGATTATAAAACACGATAATGCCACAGTAAAATGACTTGCTAAGTGACGAGGGCCCTTTAGAGCCACCCAGTGAGTGGGGGATGTTGATTTTGAAGTGATGCGGTCGGACCAGGAAGGAGCCACACAGGTATATCACCTCAAAGCATGGAGAGCGGCTGAAACCACTTCTCTGGTGATTCCCGCCTCCCTCCCATGTGACGACCATCTCACACAGACCCAGACAATGAATGTTGCTGCACCGCAGCAGTAGTTTTCAGATGTGTTCTCCCTTGTCCGGTCACACCACGCTCATGGAGCACCACTTTGACTTGCCCTGATGTGATGGTGCATCACGGCTCTCCAGGCTAGCTGAACACAAAAGGCAAATAGTTCAGGCAGAACTGGCTGTGATGCTGAAGATGAGGGTGAAAGTCCCACAGTGCATTCTTGCAGTGATGAAAGATGGGTCTATACGGCTCTGTTTGGACTACCGCAAGGTGAATGAGGTGTCACTGTTTGATGTTTCGAATGCTCCGGAGTGCTGACCCAGCCAGAAGGAGCTGAAACCTACACTACTGTTGCTCGTACATAAAAACACTGTAAATTAACCCTATGTTTAATTAAATGGATGAATCTTTTACTATATGCAATATTTGACCACTTTATTAGGTCCACATTGGTCACACAGGGTTGGATCCACTGTGGAGTCCCTCAGTAGATGGATATAAAGGGGTTTACATGGTCAGCGATAATCTTCAAATAGGCGGTGGTATATAAACTATGGTCAACTGATGCTAAGGGACCACAAAGGGCCCCAAACCATTACATGCATTGAAAGCAGGATGGAGCAGCAGAAATCAAGACTCAAAAGGTCAGACATTTTCAAATGTTGTCCAATTTGTTGGGGTGGCTGCAGCTGAGGAGGCGAAGCAGATCATCTGCTGATTGGAAGCTTGGTGGTTTGATCTGCAGGCCAAAGTATTCTTGGGCAAGATGTGCGTGACTGTTAAATAGAAAAGGACTTGGGCCTAGAAAGAGTGCTTGTGTGAATGAGGTAAGTTGTGCTTTGAGTAGGAAAGTGCTATATAAGAATCAGTCTATTTACCAATTTTGATTCGCTGTGCGAATTGTGGCCTCATTTCCTGTTCTCAGCTGACGGGACTGGCATCTGGTGTGGTTTCGCATTTATAGGTGCTCCACTGCATTCTTTTTTTAAATCAAAGTTCCTGTTACCTTCCTATCAGATCGAAGCAATCTGGCCTGTAATTTAAGTCCTTTCTTCCTCCTTCTAATACTTGGTTTGAACTTCAGCAGACACTCTTGACAACAGCCTAAATGCATTGTTACCACCGCGTGTGATGGCTGGTTAGATTGCCTTAATGAGCAGATGAAAAGGAGAATATATAGTGCTTTTCAAGTCTTACTGACACTCAGAGCTCTTTAGATTAGTATTAATGATTAAATACTAGAAGTGTGCATGTTGGCATTTTGTCTGATAGCACAGCTGAACCGTAAGTTTGTACAAAATAACAAAACAAAACTGCTAAAAACTCTCACAGACTTATTACCATGAAGAGAAATGATTTATATTATTGAGGAGATTAATGAAAAACATGTTTCAGTCACAGTAAATTACAGCAATCTTCAAATGAATCTGTAGAGAGTTGATGATGCAGGAGAGACTGATGTGCAGTTTTAATCTGTCCGTTAACCTGACCCTGTCAGAATTTACTTCTATCTAAGGTCTAACCAAGTACGACGGCCTCAGAAACTTTTACAGAACAGCAGTTATGTTTGCATTCAGAGGTTAAGCTGAGACGCTGTTAGATTAATGGAAAGGAGTGCAAGTCTTCAGAGGATTAACATTTTTTAGTGTGTGTTTGCCTGTGTGTGGATTAGGCTTGTGTAACTCTGTTGTAAGCATGTCCCCCTTCGTCTTTGTACAAGCTGAATATGGTTAGGTGTGGCCACGCCCATTTGCTACAGATAACTGCGAGCCGCGGTCAGAGAGAAGCACAAGGAGGCTGACTGTGAACTTACCTTCATCAGATTGGGCATCTGGGAGGACAAAAGATTTTTGAATTCATCACTTTTCAGCGTCGGAGACTTGTCGGCTGAAGCAGAGTGGAACTGGCTGACCAGTGTATCAATGGCGCTCTCCAGGTCAGAATACTGGGAAAAAATAAAGGTGAAAAAAAACAACAAAAGAGAAAGCCAGGTAATTTTAAAAGAAAACTGTTTTTCTTAACAAGTTTATCATGTCATTTACCCTAAAACAGAACAAACAAAAAACACTTGATCTTGCTTTATGCAGCATATTTAAGTCCAATTTTACCTGTACATTAATTTAGCACTCTGTGCCCTTCAACCGTTTTATCTCCCTCAGTCATGGCCAATTTAGAGTCACCAGTGAACCTAACTAAGGACGCTGGAGGACCCAGAGGAACGTTCCCACTCAGGGTTCAGACCAGGTGCCTTCTCGCTGCATTTTGAGCAAACACCAACCTATAAACGCGACACATCATTGCCCCATGAAGTCATTCCAACGAGCCTGTTGAGAAACTCATCCAGTTATTATTCCTTGGCCATCAGAACAGGTTCCAGTGCTCCTGCTGTTTCTCAATGCATGTGTGGCAGCAGCTTTGTCAGAACCACACCCTTTCTGACTAACGTACCACAAGCTGCAGCAAGCCTTCCTCACCGTTGTGAAAAAGTATTTCAAAGAAACCAGCAATGGTCAGGAGATCTCTTTATTTCACTGAATTTGTTGAAAGTCTATTAGTGATTTAAGTTAAATAGTTAACGGCAGTGCTCGTTAACATATCGAATCCAGCTTGTTGTAAAGCTTGATGTGAACTCCACACAGTGGAGATTCAAAAATGAGGTGCGACAAAGTCCGGGTCAGTTTGTGGCTCTGTAACGCCCGTGTGCTCCTCGATCGTGGGTTATACAGCGCTGGCTTTCCTTCAGGAAATTCCTTGCCTCGACTGTTTTGTCTCATTTACTAAACGGTTCAAGATGTAACCATGGAATAATGCGAGATACTCGTTCCTGTGAGCAACAGGGATATGAGAAGGAGCATGGAGAAACAGGAAAACGAGGAAACGCTGCAGAATCCTGGAGCACACGGACACACAGAGGTGGATCACTCGTGCAGATAAAACTGCTGTTTCAATACGAGCTACAAACGTGTGCAGCTGGTGCCAAATGAAGGAGTTAGTGAGCCCTTCAGCCATCACGTGGAACAGAATTCACCATTTGGTGTCTCGTTAGTGGCGAAGAGTCAACACTCTTCAGCAAATATGAAACTGGTTTGATTTCTGTCACGTGCTGTGGCTGTACAGCCCTTCCACTACACCCGAGACTCACTGTCATCCTGCAGGAGACAACACCCATCAAGATAACTAACATTTCATCAGAGGATAAAGGTGATTGCTCAACTTTGCACTCATTCACAGACACGCGTGAAGTGCTACAAAAAGCGACCCACAGTATAACAGACACATCGGATCGCTTTCACGGGTCAGGGTACTTTTACTTTAACTGTTTGTTACAAATTAGCACAAAACTGATGAATTACACGCGTGTTCTGTTACGACTTCGTTCGTCGTGGAGGAGCGGCGGGACCCTGCGCTTAGCGCTTCTTTTCGGGGAGGGGCCGCTGGCCGCATACCTCTGAAAGTTTCTCCCCGAAAGAAAGTTCGAGAATAATCCACGGCTGATGTTTTAGTCGCTTCTAAACGATCAGTATTTACACCCTGTATCCAAGCCCAGTCCCCCCGCTGATAATCTGACGCCTTGTGTGACACGTCGCTCCTCCGTGAAGCGCACAGAGGCCATTTTTTAAAAATTCCACACATTAATTTCGCACCAAACCACCTTTTTCCGGTTAAAGAGGCGACGGTGTAAACGTCTGCTGCCAACAGGTCCAGTTTTACATGTGGGCACTAAGAGAAAGTTGTCTTGACCTACCTGAGGCATGTTGACTGCGGTAACTCGTCTTCCTGTGTTTCTCGCTGCTGGAGCGCTTCAGTGATCCCTGCATCTGTCACCAGCTGGCAGCATTCCGAGATCCTCCCTCCGCCACAAAGAAGAGCCAGGAAGGAGCCGCGCTCTTAGATAATGCCGACGCAATGCCGTGAATTTACCACAGTTACACAAGACAGTCACACATGTACGTCTCAGGCTGTTTTCAACGAGTGACTCGTGAGTGTGTCATTACACAGCACAAAGGATTCAACAGTTGTTCCACATCTGGAAACTTTTAGCAAAGCTGCAAACTGCTGTTCTCTGCAACAACTGCTTTACACGGATGTACACGGTACAGATTATAGGAAAAGTCCCTGAAAGGATGTTCAGTGATTAAAAAGAAACAAAACTAAAAAGACAGAGACAAGCAGGTACGAGCACATTCCTGTTATCCGGTTTGTGTGTGGCGCAGAGGGGGGGGGGGGGGGGAATATTGGAATTTAAAGAACATAGGCGGACTTTTTTAAAGTGCTGTATCCAAGCTGGGAAAGATAAGAGCAGGCTCCATTCCCCCCCGCTAATAAAGACCCGCTCCCCCTCCTCCTCATGTATGCGCCGGTGTTCGCACGGTGAAGGGTTAATGCCACACCCAATCCCAGAAGCTGCAACGCAGTTTCAGCAGGATGCCGTCAATCATTCTCAGGATCGTAGCTCCTCCCACAGGTCCTACAGTAACAGACACACGGCCTCCGCTCTCCAGTCCTT